GAGGGATGAGCATACAGGAGCTCCAAGATCTTTGTTACTGCCCAGTGAAACAAACTGTGCTCCTGCTGTCAGCTGAGCCAAACAACTGAAACAAATGGTTTTTTAAAGCTGCAAGTTACACAGGTCAACAACAAATCAGCTTTAACTTGCCAGTTGCCTTGGGTACACAGTCAGTAACATCTGAGTTTGATATTTTCTGGGTCATTAAGACTCCAAAGGCATCTCATTCTTTCAACAGCTAATAACTATTCTTTAGGACCTACTTCTTGAAAATGCCTGTTCTTCGCTTTCCACCTTCTCTCACATACAAAAATAGTTAAATTCCTATTTTCTCCAAAAATGCAGCATCCTATGGATTAAAATCCTAGCACTAGCATATCCTTAAAATGTTTCCTCTGGAGTTGTTTAAAGTACAAGTTCAGCACAGCCAAAAATGCCTTCACTCTTCCCCCAAATCACCTTCACTTCCTTCCAGTTCATGGTCATCATCATCATCACTAGCAGATGTAATTTCCTTTCCACTGTCAACCCTCCTCTCTGCACCTAAACCACTTCTGTTTCTCAGTTAGGTAACACAATACATTTTTAATCACATTGCAAATTGAATTAACAACTGCTACTGCTCTGCTGGAAAAGAAAGGCAGATCCTGTTTCTTATCTCCTGTCAGGCTCCTTCTGAGCACACACATCCCACAAGGACACATTTTCACCTCATCTGCATCTCACTGATGTTTTAAATAAAGACAGGAAAAACACAGAAAAGTCTGACATTTTCAAGCATTCTATTACAGAATTTTTAATAATACTATCTTAACTAGATTTCTTTATTTACCACAATTATTGCTATTTAAGCATCTGTGATGTCTTCATAAAAAGTTAGAAATATGTTTTAAAATATTGGCAAGTTAAAAACATTATTAATCATTTGTAAGGAGACTGCTGACTTTTTTCATAAATTTTATGTGATCACTATTTCTGCATTAATTCATTTCATCAAAGAAATAAATCAGTATGCTTGAGTTAATAAGATTTACATGAATTCAATTTACCAGGGATAATTTGACATGAACAGATGACATCAGCAACCAGACTTCCACTCTACAATCTTTGAAAATGCAGTCTTGTACTTCATATTTTTCATGTTAATTTTTAAACTGCAACAAAATAACTCTGTCAACTATTCCTTTGGGTCACATGCTAGGTTAAAAAAGAAAATATTCCAGAAGCAAGTTTGATAAAAGTTTAGCTGTTTGTTCATTAATAGTTAATAACATTTTTAACCACTGAATGCAAATATGGAATATGAACTAAATTACCACCATACTATCTGAGTGTCAGCTGCTAGAACTGAAAAATGATTTAGCAGTACTAACATCTATATGCACTACACTTAAAAAAACATGGTTTTGGTGAGTTGGAAAGGCCATACTGCCCACTGGAGCCTAAAGACACACCATCCCACAAACATAAGCAAAGCATCACAGATAAAGTAACTTCCCAAGATCATTCCATCAATGTTTCCATCAATTTTCCATCAATTTTCAATTCCATCCAAGTTTCCATCAAAAGGCTACAGAATTATTTAGGTCCTACTCCAAAATCTGACAATTCTAAATAAAACACTGAACAAAAAGATAGTATAATCATTTAGTCTGTTTAAGACACATTAGTTGTAGCATTATGGTCAGGGTTAGGCTATTCTGATGCTCTAGTTAACCACTTGATGGACAAGGCAGGAATAAATTAAATCCACAAAAATTAAAATTAAAAGCCCATCTCAGGATCAATGCTATATATGGCTGGGTTAGGGTTTGGCCACTAAAATTCTAAACTTTCTACATATACAAGTTAAAATCCTACCGGAAAAAACTCCACCATCCCTTATTTTAATACATTTCCATCAAACAGCCTTGCTAAAGCTTCCTATGGAAGTGAGTGTGACCTCCACACCTACACATACCAGTCTGTAGCCTCACAGGTAAGCTCCTTCAGCCTCAGAATAAAGGACCATGTAACTTCAAGGATCTTGAAAATACTTTGTAAAACAGTGCAAAGATGACATAGAACAGTGACACTTTAAACAGACTTTTGCTGAACAACCACTAGACAATGCTGCCAGATCAAACTGTAATCCACATTTATGAAATAAATCTGTATTGGACTCCAAGAAACCCCCATCTCTGTCTCAGACAACATACTAAGCTCCATCTCACAAGAGTGACGGGAGTGAGGGAGGAGGAAGACGTGTCTTAAACTAAGAAACCAAGTACAGGAAAATAGAAGCTCTGAAATCCAGAGCTGTGGTGAGAAATGAAAACAAAGTACTTATACATAGCAGCACCTAAAATTATAAAATACATACCACTTACAACTTTATATTGACATATTAAATGGTTCTCTTGGTTCCAAATAAGAGGTGAGTGGCTCAAACTGATGTTAAATGTTCACCTCCCTTCCCTTGCATTAAGAGTTGTAGTTTTAACCATATTTGTAATTCTCTTGTCATTAGGATGTTACTTAAACACAAGCAGATGACACAAATTAAGCTTGTTACAGTAGACGTTCCAAAAAATGGTCACTGAGCAGGTCTGTCCCTAGACAGCTGCTGGACAGCCATGGTGGTTTCCACATTAACACCAAAGTTAGTGCTAGTTGTTCCAGAGACCGCCCCATCACAGGCTTTGTTTAATTATGACTCACCTAGTTTTGAGCTACAAGTCCTATGCCTAAGTGGCCTTGCAACACAGGTGCTTTTTATTCATGCAGCAGAAAACAACCTAGGCAAAAGTGGCCAAATAGCACTGCACAGCATCCAACTGACCAGCAGCAAAGGCTAAGTACCTGCATCACAGTTCTCCCTTATATATATTTAATCAGTTCTTTGTAGATGGTATCATACATTTTTCTGTTTTGATTCTGTTATTCTGTGCCTAGCATGATATTGAATTGTTTATTTACATTACTCATCTCCTAAGGATGACTTTAGTTGTCAGTGACTAAAACTATTTCCATTTAGTTCCTTGAAAATGCCTTCAAATTCTGTATCTAAACATTTCCTATCTCATTATACCATACCACAGGCACATTGTAAAGACCTTGATTAACTCGATTTCCATTACAACAGCCTCACTTCATCATATTAAGCTCTGTTCTACTTCATATTTTTCAGGCTTCCACTATATCTTTTTTTCTCCAATGTAATAAGCCCACATTTTTGCCAGCACTGTAATTTTGCCATAGGAATAACTGCCATTGAATATTCACCTGATTTTTAAACGTTGGTCAACCCACTCCATGAAAATCAGCTCCCAAGCTGCAGATAGGCTGCAAGACAGTAATTGTGGGCTGCTGAAGCCTAGCCCACGTTGCACTGTTTCTCTACTAAAATTGAACGCAAGCCAAATTTCTTGTCTCATGAAAGTACAGACTTATACGTAGTAGTGCTCCTGGAAAACTAAGTCAGTAAGGATTGATGCTAAAAAAGGCACAAATACGTTTAACTGGCTTAAATTCACTTATATATGCCCTGAAATATTCAGAAGAAAAAAAAAAATCTGCAGAGAAAATATCTGCAAGGGGTTTGACGTAGGACAATCAAGTGCTTTTCAAGCCCATTTTAATCATTTTCCTATGACTGAAAGTCCTGAAGAAACACAACAGTTTGACTTTATAACTTAGTGGGAACATCAATATTAAAAGGAAGACTTTATTAGAATATTCAAATACACTTACATAACACCAGCATTTGTCTAGTAAAGGATACAACACAGTACAGACAGAAAATAACTACAAGTTCTTTCAACATAGTAAAAATTATAATCAAGTTATATTTATATTATACAGAAAATATTTCCAGACTAAGCTTGACATAAGCCAGAGGACATCAAGTGCTGTTCCAGTGTGATAACACCAGGAACTAGAAAATATATCCAAGCTAGCTGTGTGTAGTACCAAAAATACTACCACAATAACTTTAAAATACACTAGAATACTACCAGATTCAGCACAGTAACAACTGTCTTTGTTTCAAAGTTTTTGTTTTTTTTTTTTTTTTTTGTCTAATAGAACCGAATGGGACAACAGGAATATGATTCAAAGTTACCCAAGACACTGCCTTTATTGCTCTGAAACACTAGTACCATTACTCTGACAAAGCAAGCTATGGCAGTCAGGGAGACTCATACCAAAACCAGTTAAAAATATAAAACCATGTCAGGAACACTACTCATGGAAAAAACTAAAGGAAGCATGGATGACTAGCATGGCTGCCAATAGTAAAAGGGAAGAGAATATTAATTTTAAAAGCCTGAAGTTTTCACTAAGAACTTCACACACCCCAAGAAAGATGTCCAGTGATTTCCTGAGCATCAAATGCAAGTAGTTTCAAATGCAAATAAGCACAAGGAGACCAACTATTGCTTGTTTTTTGTTTCTTGAATAGTTTATCAGCATGTCAGGTCTACTAATGAGCTTCACTTTCCATCCAGTCAGCTCTCATGGATCCACAGTTTGTTTTCAACAGGTTTAGCAAGGCAAAGGGAACGCTTGAAAGCTGGCAAAAAATAATGGTGAGACCTTTCTTTTTTTCCTTTTTCTAAAGAGAAGGATCTTTCAGTAGAAGTAATTGTTGAAGTATCTTACTTATATTTCTACAAAAGTTCCACTTATGGTACATCATGACACTGTTGCATGAAGACACAACTTGAATACTGAGAAAAGAACGTTACTGTGGGTTTTACAGGACTACACAAATAATCATTTAACATCATGTGAACTGCTCTCCCATCAAACAAATCATAGCATGCATTAATAAACTAATGCATTTTTTCCTGTTTCAGATTAACACAAAGATACAAATAATTACATACAAGTTTTCAATATGCTTTCTTCCTTATCTCTTTATTGTAAAAGGCCGTGATTTTGAACCAATATTTGGAACATATAATTAATGTCAGAATTTAAGTTCTTTAAAACCTCTGTATAAAATAACTTTGTCTTACCATGGCTATGGGCAGTTCCTGGACTGAGACATGGTTGGTGTAAATCTTTGGTTGGAGTAAAATAGGCTTCTCTCCCCTGATGCTGGTTCATTCTTCCTGGAGTTATAGGCTGGTCATCACTGTTTGTTACCACTGCTGAAATAAAAAATGAATGCTCATTCAAAGATGTTATGTGCTTGTGCAGAGACTTATATTAAGAATTTCACTGCTGTTTATGAAACCGGTATTCAGCTGCTCTGTTGCAAAACATTTCATTCTAAAAACTGAGGTTTTCAAACCAGATACGTGCTTTGAGAGGATGGCAGAAAGAAGCCAGTAAGACTGGTCTAAGACATGAGGGAAAAGATGAAAAAAATTACCATGAGGTTGGAAAGGCTGATACTCAGTAGAGATACAGCATTGAGCTGTTGCTTATCTTCTTTTCTTTGCCACTTTGTGATAGCTTTTGGTTTAACTAGCCTCAACTCGGCCAACCCATGAAACAGCTTGCCAGATCAAGCTGTACCAACATCCCAGAAAACTAAGATGAATGTCTGTATATACATCACAAGAAACAAGTCTTAGCAATACAAATCACGTGCAAATTCTGTCAAGGCAAAGGCTTAAAGCAGAAGAGTTACTCTCCTTGAACTTCATCAGTCTGAAAGACTTGTCTCGTGTCTTCCTACCTATTTCTAGGATCACCTGGCCAGCCATCCTGTTTTATAGTTTCTGTACATTTCATTAAGCTGCAGACAACCTTTCTTCATAATCAAAGAATGACTGTCTCTGTAACACCTGTTGTGTGAAAGCAGATATACTGACAACGTGTTCAAAGAGGGAAACAAGCAATATTTACTGAAGAAAAGACTGGAACTTACAACACAGATGATTTTAAGAGTTCCCAAGCTTTCCTTAAAAGTTCAGCAGAAGATTTGAGTCAAACCAAACAAGTTCTATTCTCTGGATGGACTCTGCAAAGTACAAAGGCCTTCTTAGCTTTATCACTACTCTTATTACAGTAGTGGAAACATTTTGCAGCAAAACCTGGAATGAACACAAAGCAGTATGAAAAAATAAAAAGGTGCTTGAGTGTCCAGAGAAGGGTAAGGAAGATAGTGAAGGGTCTGGAGCGCAAGTCTGATGAAGATGGCTGAGGGAGCTGGGGTTGTTTAGCCTGGAGAAAAGGGGACTCAGGGTAGATTTTACTGCTCTCTACCACCACCTGAAAGGTAGCTTCTCTCATGTAACAAGTGACAGGATAAGAGGAAACAGCCTCAAGTTGTGGCATGAGAGGTTTAGTTTGGATATTAGAAAAAATTTCTTTACCACAAGGCTTCTCAAGCATTGGAGGAGGAAGGGAGCATTGCCCAGGGAAGTGTCACCAATCCTGGAGGAATTTAAAAGATGTGTAGATATAGCACTTGGGGACATGGTTTAGTGGTGGACTTGGCAATGCTGGGTTAACAGTTGGACTTGATGATTCTTAAATGTGTTTTCCATCCTAAATGATTCTATGAAGAATGCAAGGATTGCAGTACACCCACCTGTATTATTTTTCTACATCAAATAAGCCATCTAAAGCTCTGCTCCAGACAAACTATACTCTATGTGAACTGCTGCTGAGGAAAAATATGTGAGGAAATGGACAAGGGAGGCAACGAGCTCATTTTACCAGTTCAGAATTCAAGTCCATCAGTGCCAGAAGGCTGGTATTTCAAAGTACTGTCTGATTTTGCTCCTCTTGTACCAAACTAGCTGTCTATTGTTCTGCAACTACAATTAAGGGAAAGGGGGGAACAAGGTAGTTGCTGAAGTCTTGGGAAGAGACCATACTGCAGAAGGTCTTGTATGTGAAAATAAAAGAGGGTAAGAAAACAGCTGCTTCACAGGTTTGCACAAAATGGGTCACTGCAAGGAGAGTGAGCTATACTTGTTTTAAAGATTTAAGGTGTACAGTGCACTGAAGGAAGACCAGCTTTCACCCAACTAGCTGAAAAATCCTATTGATGAGCCACTGGCCACTTAGCTTCTGCAGGGATGGGAATTCTCAGCCTACTGTGCTCTGCAGGTGCCCCCACCAGCCCCTATGCCACTGCAGCAGGTGACACCGTGGGCGCCACAACAGGAACTGCACTAGCAACCCTCTCCTAAGTAAACTGTGCAGAAGGCTTGTTTGTGAATATGCACCATGCAGCACTGCTAACACTTTTTTAAGCTTTGGGAAATCCAAAGGTTTCTTAAAGCTGTCACAATGCTATCATTTCTCAGGCAGTAGTTGCCAGTAACCCGCAGCGTAAGCAAGCTCTGCACACGGGTGTTACTAAAGCATGAGCTGCACTCACCAGTGGGGACTCAGTCACACTAACGGGACTACAAGCTTCAAGCTCACTGTATAATTCATATTCCTTCATTAGGAGTCAATTAGGTCCTGCAACAACTCCTAGAACTGTCAGAAAGGCTCTTTTCCTACCAAGCAGAGTTTATGTATCACCTAATATAGAATACCATATGGCAAGCACTTCACGTGCCTGGGTATTCAAGGTGAACTTCTTAAAACAAGTGGGATTTTGAGAAATTCCATCTATAAACCTGAAGAATGATTGGCAGGAAAGTTTTTAAATCTCCTTTTTATACAAAGCAGCATAAAATACTAAACGAATGGAAATAAAACAGATAAGAACATAACTATTTATTCACACCATAGCAGCCACTAGGAGGAACTTGACCCCCCTCCTGCAAAATGCCTCATCCTAATGCTCAGACGTTTGCTCTGAGGTGAGGGAGAAGACAAGGCATTATTTTAGAGAAGAAACAACAAATAGTAAATATCAAAGCCTCCTTGTGACTCTTTGGAGGTCACATTTCAATACCAACAGAACTGTTGAGAGTTGAGCATACATTGTTCATGTTCATCATACTGGTCATCAAATTACTAATATAAAAGTTTGTCAGTACAAATAATACCTTAGAAGAAATATAAACTGGGGTCTTTACAGACAATTTATTTCAGGTAAAAATATGAAAAAAAATCTGGAGAGTCAGATTCCCACTTCTGTTTCTATAATGAGCCTCTGAAAGTGCCTACGCCACTGAAAATAGTACACAGACATCATATACAGGAAAATGTTTATTACAATTCAACTCAACATTGTTTTTTAATGTCTATAATAAGGTATATCAGCTAAGACCACAGCTTCTGCACAGATTTCTCATAGAAAAAAGAAACAATTTGTGCCTACACCTTTCTTTTTCCCACATGCACGAACTCTTAATCCCAGGCAAAATTACTCTGCCAATCTACTATCATATCAATGCCCACAAACCAATGGCACCAATAAGTCTTTGGCTGCATGTAAGCACATACATACATCTGAAGTTTTCCTTAGCACCTCACCAGATCCAGTCCTGAAGAATTATAGGATATATACACCTGTTCAATTCTGAATATGTAAAATTATTGAGATTAAGGGAACCACACATAGTACTAGAAATCTACAAGCTCAAAAATAAAACCTTTTTCGGAACCATTATTTCCATATATTTACTATCTGTACTACAATAGCATTTGAAAGTTTCATTTCAAACTGATAAAAATAGCTTTTTCTCTTCCAGATAAATAAGAGAAAAGATTTTTTTTTTTTCCTGCCTATGACTGGGAGAGGTGAAGAATAAACTTTTCCCCCTAAAAATATAAAGGCTGCGGTAGGGAAACTTTTGGATGAGTGGTATGCCAGGCAAAATACTTTTCCAACAGCAAATTTTCATCACACTTCAACTTCTCAACTATGATACAGAAGCAAACCTAGTATTTATCCCAGCAACTATATGCAAAGATACAGGCTAACTACTACGAACATATGTGCAAAGATAATGTAGGAGAGAGGAGTCACTTACTTGATGGTCCAGGAGGGTCTCTGTTCTCACCATGATGCTGTGTACACATACAATTGAGGAATGAAGAACAGCAAACATAAAAATCCAGGCCAGGAAGAAGCAAGTGCACAAAAAGCAGCAGCAGCAGCGGGAAAGAAGGACAATGAAAACAGTGTTAGTTCATAACTAAAATACAACATGCACCTCAAGGCCAAAGGCAAGACCTCAAGAGACTCTGCAGTTCAGAAAAGTTGAAGCAACAAATCTGACAAATATGCCTATAGAAAAGCCATTATTAGAAGCCATCATTAGTAAACAGCAACTGCCTCAACCGCTTCTTCTGAGTGGAATCTCTCCAGCAGCAATTTAGCGCTCATATGACTTGATTCACAGCATTTTAAAAGAAATATTAAGCTGGAGTGGTTTCAAAAGACTGAAGCTCTGAAGAAAGCTGAAATAACACAATATGTTTCCAAAACCACTCCATTTTCAAAAAAATGTTTTGGAAGAAAAAAAAAAAAACAACCTTTAAAGTCATAAGTAATGTGCAAGCACCTACTAATGCTAGATCCAAGCCTAACTGCTTTTGCATACAAACACAAACTTAGTAGCCACAGATTCAGCTCATGTACAAACACAGGTAACATTTGATATTGCTTAGGATGCAAGACAAACAGTGCAGTTTTAAATTTAAGAGGGTATTTTATATCTGAGTATTTTCATAGAACCAAGTTGCATAAAATTTCTCTTCCACTGAATGCATCAAACCTAGGCACTGAAGGGGGGTAACTACACAGTAATATCCTGTAAGCCTTTCTGATATTTGATCTGGAATATTTTTTAAATCCTTGCTAACAAAGACTACAATCAAGGCTAAGAATCCACTGTGCTCAGCCATGTACAGATAAAAGGCAAATTCCACTTATGTCTCTAAGGATTTACTGCTTTTGCAATCTGCGAAGAATAGAAAAGGAGAAAACAAGAATCCTGATCAGCATGAACATTTTCTCTTTAAAAACAAAATAAATCCAAACATGACATATCTTCTATGTCCCAAATAAAAAATTTATGCTCCATAAAGTAGCGAAATCCTTGCTCTGCTTTAAAGAGGATCCAATCTTGCCTCTCTTATCAGGACTTAACAGCAAGAAATGTAAAAAAGCGAAATCATAATCAAAATCTTTACAAGCAGGAATCTTGTCTTGCACTCCTGACCTCAAAACACTGGTTATTTTTTTTTATCCCTCACAGCTGCCTAAGGGTGTTGAATTGCAAAGTGACAGTGCAATGTGCAAATGTGAATACTGCAATGAATATACAGCAATTGCAGTACACATCATTGGAAAGGTGAGGGAACCCTTCTTTCACAATTCTGCATCTGAACAGGACTTGACTGATCAGGAAAACCTGAAATAAAATATAAGCACACTTGGCAAATAACTTTCCATTCCTGCCAGAGACTAAATTCAGGTCAAAAATTGAAACCCATGAACTTACCAGACATGTTTGAGTACATGAAATGTATTTAAAAATTCAATGGCTTTCAAGGCAAAATGTTTATTCTTAATGTACAGATAACATACTGCAGACTAGGACACAGTTGATGTTCAGACTGGAACTGTCCTACCCTATGCTGATTTTAGGTTCAAGAGAACAGTGGCTGACAAGAGAACAAGAAGGCTGAAGAAACTATACAGAGGTCCAGCAACTGACTGAAGGACTGGGAGCACCGCTATTCAGCACTGGGCTGCTTTAGTGGTCACTGGGAGTTGACAGCAAGAGAATGGAACTGGAAAAATACATTGTGAACAGACACACGGGATCAGCAGTACCTGAGGCTCAGCCAGATGCTCACTCGCAGTGCATTACTTACGTGTGCAAGAAACAAGAGGGAAAAGGCAGCGCAGCAGGTCCTGTCTCACTGCCTGCCCTGCAAGCAGCCCTGCCCAAGATACAACGTGACACCAGAGAGCAGGGCAACCTGTCACCCGAGATGGCCATGCAGGGGCATTGCATGTAAATATTTTAGCATTGCATGGTTAATCCTATGAACTGGTACAAACAGCTCCTATGCCAGAGGCTGAAACACAAGCCTGTCTAATTCTGTCCTCTATCTTCTCCAAGTGACATTCTGTTTACACACCAATCTCTCTCTGTTGCTGGTCAACCCCCTCTCTTCATCAGACGTATTTGGGTCTGTGTATTTACCTAAAACCTGCAGAATGTATATTTCTAATCATTGGTGCCAGATGTTAAGGCACTGAAATCAGACTATTTTGGCCAAAAAGACCTTTTCATTTTCCAATAGCCTATTGCACCTCTATCATCTGCAATTCATATCACTGCAGACTGGGGTTCCTAACAACTGAGGGAACAAAACATGACCATTTTACTACTTCAGGGTTTTCTCTGAAAAGAATGCTCTCAGGACATTCCTGTCCATCACCACCCACAACTCTTATTCTAAATCTACAAAATTAAGAGAAACATACACATACTCCCAGAGGCACAACCTGGCCTTATTTTCATATTATATAATTGATGACTTTGATTACAGATTACAGAACAAGTTCTCTGACATGTTCTCAACACTAAGTGATTGATTTCATTTCTACAGAGGAGCAATTACTTTAAAATTTTGCTACCAAAATACATAAAGCCTAGTCCTCCTCCCAGTAAAGTTTTTGACTACGAAGTAAAACCAGCAATATAAAGCATCACATGAGACAGCAGCTGCAATTGTTTTTATACAAAGGCAGCTTACGTGCTTCAAAAAAGCACTATTTTTAGATGTTCATTTCTCAGAAATAAAGCTTATAACAACTGCTGCTAAACTTTAAGTTATATCTGCCAAGTTCTTCTAAAAAACAAAATCCTTTTCCTGTTGAATATTAGGGTAAAAGCAAAAGTATATGTCACACTAGCATGTGTGAATCTCTTATTATAAAAGTTTTTTTTAAAACACTGTTTTTACAATCAAAACATACAGCTAAATTTTTAATTGTCTAAAAGAATATTCTAAAGCCAAGTTTGAGATTTCACCTTGCTGAAGACAGACTTTCCCTGAAGGCAGTCTCTGATGTGTATACCATTGAAATTAATCCAGTTACATTAAATTCAGGGCCACTGACCCAACCTCCAAATCTGATCAATAAAAACAATTCAATGCTTCAAGGAAAAAAGGTACTTTTATGTCTGTTGATGTATTAAGTAACAAGGACTGACACTGACTGTACAAGTTATATCCCAGGCAAATTATTTATTAAATGTATGTCTTAGCAAAAATTAGAAGTGACTGCAAATTACTAAAAATATTTCAAAAAAGAATGGTTTATACCACACATTTCCATGTAATGTTCTAAGTTCAGAGGAAGTGAGACTTGATTAAATTTTTGTTTCATAGAAAAGTAGACAAAAACTGTTCTCAGACTGAGAGCATCTATTATTTTGCACTGTTTTAATGGTGTCAGACTACAAAAATAGTTTGCTGAGCTGTCACAGCCTTTATCTTCAAATTTATATTCAGTATGTATCAACCTAATTGTTAGACAGAAAGAGAACTTAATATAAGACTTTTCTCTGTACACTGATTCTGGAAAAGAAAAAGCACAGCATTAAGGCCTGTGATCACCTCATCTTGTGTTCTTTAATAAGCCAGCCAAAAAAGCAAATTAGAAAGCTGCACTTAATAGAAGACTTTTCTCTGTATACTGATTCAGCATTAAGGCCTGTGATCGCCTCATCTTGTGTTCTTTAATAAGCCAGCCAAAAAAGCAAATTAGAAAGCTGACACCTCTAAAAATGGTTTTTTCAGACACCTCCTAGAAACATCCCAAAGGACTTAAAAGTGGAGAAAAAATCTGATCAGTATTCCTTATGCATATTACTACACATGTATTTCATTAATTTTATCATGACAATGGAACTTAAAAAAAAAAACCAAACAAAGATTGCACCTAAAAGCCTGGAATACTGAAAAATTTTAAACATGATTTCAAAAAATTTAAATTTCTGGAAAGTGTCAGGATTTGCACTGACTAAAGGTCTTCAAAACTACTGGGTCAATCTCTCTTAAAAGATCTATGGAACTTTACTATTTAATTTCCACTTTTTTTACTATGATATACACTAGGCTGTACATTAGACTACCAAATAAGCTTTCAAAAATGTTTTTAACACCTGTAGTGCAACACACAAAACTTGATATTGTAACTGCAATTTAGACAGATAATTACCCCACTGGCTGATATTTTGATAAGAAATGCTTAGACTAGTGTATTAAAATACACCATCAGTTAAAAATATATATATATTCTGAGATGACACTTCAGAAGCACATAGGATGAAAGGCAATCTATCCTTACACTTAGCATTCTTCTAAAGCAGTCTTGGTAAAACAGAGACTCATTTTGAGGTACCTTCTTAAGATCCTGCTACTCTGAAGGCATGTCACAAAAAGAAAAGTAGCACATCTTACATTACTTTGAAGTGTTTTGCAAACTGGCACCTTTTTATATATTTTGAGGAAACAAGGAGTACAACAACTGAACTGACAGCATTTTTAAAAAAAATTAAAATACCCTACTGCACAGTTGGCAGTTGATACTCATAAGTATGCTGCATCTGGGATATAAATGCACGGGCCACGCAGCAAACCAATGAATTTGTTCGTTACAGAAAGAATTTTCTTAACGCACTGCAAAACAGTTTGTCTCCAAACTCACCACTTAAGATAAAAACAGTAATAAAACACTTGATCAAGTTAATAGCTCCATGTAGTACTTCAGTATCACAAATAAAGTTTGTCAATAATGAGGTGTTAAATTTGACCTTCACCTCAGTTACAGAAAAACATATCCTATTTTGCCTTTGCAAGGCAGTGCTCTGGAAACTATAAAACATTTCCTTCTTCAGCTATTAAAGTGCTTCTACATGACACAGCTTGTGGAAAAACTAAACTCTTAAATAATTTCAACATTTATGATGATGATAAAGCATGATAGTATGCACTAGCCTTTCCTGATTTTAAATTGTGCTCAGAAGGAGCTTCATTGCCTCAGAAATTTTATAATCAGTACACATTATCAACTCTTACACCTCAGATGACTCTGATAAATATAATTATCACTCCTTCTGTCTTTTCTGCTCCTCATTCCACCAAGAACTACATTATTTTTTTCCATGTACTGCTCTGTGAAACCAAAACACAAAAATTAAACAATATGTGCAAGCCAGCACCTTCTGTGGCACAGCGGGCACTCCTCTGGGGGTCACCACACACAGCGGGAAAGCAATGCCTCATTCTCTAGGCATTTCCTATTTACTTTTTTGCAAGAGAATGAAACCTGCAATGAACCTTAGTATTCACAGAATATTTAAAGTCATTAGCGAGACAAGCACACACCCTGGAATCCAGCAAAACTTGGTGGAAAAGAAGTGCTTTAACCATTGATTTGTTAAGCAAGTTTCAGGAGAAGCGCAGATCAGGGATGCCTACTGAGATGTGCAGCTACAACCCATCGCTCTGTGTCTGTCCAAGACCTCCATCCAAGAGGACAGCAGGGGCAGAGGAGTCTGTGCTTACCTGTTCGGAACAGTGCCGTCGGTACCACACGCGGACAAAACCCTGCGCTCCCACCCTGCACGGAACCACGCTCACTCTGCCCTTCCCGCCAGCCACAGCAAGTGCTTCATCACAGAATTAGCCCAAGGACAATTCTCTTCTTTCCTTTTGTCTTGGGTGGGGTGAGGGGGTAGGAAGCAGCTAAGTTACAAGCTCAGTTGCTAAACCAACACTTGTGCAAGAGCAGGGGTAGCACCGAGATGGTGATATTTTTTTCATGCTATAATGTTTGCATATTGTTCTTAATCTATGCATCAAACTAATGGCAAATTTTAGTAAAAACAGATTAAGCGAAGACAGAAGGGTGAGGTGGGAAGATGCATCACAGTTCCTCCAGGGAACCTGAGGAACATCCTGAATGCAGGAGGATGGGAGAAAGGCAAACAGATAACCAGAATACACAGGATCTTCTGGTTCAAGGTCTGTCTCAGGAAATAGACACTCATGAAAACAAATCTCACAAAAAAGAATAACCATTTATTGTATGCCTTTCCATGTTTTATTATAATTGGTTTTTGGGTTTGTATTATGTAAAGCAAGTAAGAATTTTCCCTCAGGAAAAAACATACAGTATTAATACACTCTAGATAATTACT